ATTTCGATTTTGTGCAGTAGCGAGACAATCCAAGTGGATTGCTTATTCCGTAAGGTCATTTTTTCTTTATTCAGCGTTGCCGCCCGAATTCGTAAAGCTGGGCAAGCTTAATTAAAATGTGTAATTTCATGCTATAAAAACAGATCGATCAAAAAATAATAGGAATATGAATTTTAAATCATAGATAAATAAGAATAACCAGTGTTCTAGACAAATTGAATTGTCCTAATTTTTGTTATATATGCAATGTGGCAAGGTAGCATTTTATTATTCTGCTGGTATGCTTGATATGTGACTGTATTCATTTCTTGAGCGGTTTTGGCACGAATAATTTTATGAAAAAATTTAACAAGGTCTTGGAATTTTGGAGTTAGCTTCACGTCAAAATCAAAAAAAATATGCAACCTGTCATGACTGTCAGTAGCCTAGTCAGTAGTGGGTACTGTCAAATTACCACGGCATGGGTATTTCGTATCTTGACATTTTGTCGTTTTTTGACAGTTTGTTTGTGACATACCGTAGGTTTCTCTACAAGATGTGTACTTAGCACTAGCTGTTGTACACCTGTTGAGAACTCGTTGTGTAGCTGTACGTGTTGCCTCAACGTCATGATGCTTCAGCTATCAATGTTTGGCTCTGATGTGATGTAACATCTGTTTCAGAGATGGCGTTATTGGACGTCTAAGCTGTAAGTTGTATATTATAGCTAAAAGGAAAATCCAATGGTTTCTTGTCTCAAATGCACCTACTTGAGATGCATCCAAAGCTAGAAATTAGTTGTACATCCACATTTTCTTATCTTTTTTTGAAATTATATATTATGCAAATTTGCTGAATTTCAAAAATGCGATAGGAAGAGAAATTCCCTGGTTGGCGGAGTAATTTACTTTATATGAAATCTTATAATTTATACTTACATGCTCGTATTGCCACATATTGCAGTTATATTCACTGCACACTGCCGAATTAGAAGTCATACACAAGCGAACAGTAGTTACCGTAATTCTCCTCAAAGTTTTTAAAAGCACAAAACAAAAATGGGAAAAATCGTAATTTATTACTTTGAACATAACCTGTCTTCAGAAAGGACAACATATAAATAACCCGTCGTACCCAGCTAATAGATACTTTTCTCTCAGCAAATAGCACTGATCTTATACACATGCAGACCAATACATATAATCATCAAGATGCAACCTTGATACTCAACCAACTTTCTTTCTTTCACATCTTCTCAGAGATAACCACTACTCGGCTTTCTGCAACCAACAATGCATGCTTGAGCGAGTCGTGTCGTTGACTCATTTCTCGATAGATGGATGCCTTTGACCATGCTCACAGCGACCATAGCAAGCAAACGTGGAATGAACTATTTGCACACTAAAAACCTAGTTTACAAGATAACATTTCGTCGTTTTTAGACGTTTTTTAGGTTTCTTACATAATACTCCTGCCGTACACTTTAGTGGTCACAAAAACCCTTGTTTTTCCAACCATTCTTAGTTGCCATTACTTTTAAAAATAACGTAACGGAAGGCTTAACGATTGGATATTTTGATATCACCAATGAGCCAGAGACAGATCTGTGAAATAAACTAATTCAAAGAATGGTGTGCTTTCCAAAAATGTCATGGGCGGATTTAACATTTCATCTAGGGGGGGGCGCAAACGATATTTGGAGCTGGTCATTTTTCAACTTCAGTGGAACTTCCAGAATTTATCCTATTATTGCTGCTTAAAGACATTGTGTTCTATCTGGTCAAGGCTAGCTTGGCAAAAAAACATGGAAAATGCTCAGAAATCCTCAGAAAATAAGTACGTAGCATTTATAATTAACTAGTGTAACAATATTAAAGATTCAAACATAGAAAACTGCTCTGTCGACCGAAAAAAGAAAAACATTCTGAGGGACCCCGAGACATATCCCAGTCCATTCCACACAAAACTATGTCTTTGATGGGCAAAACGAACTTGGTAAACCGAAAAATTCACATTATCGTATGGACGCTAGACGAGACAAAGAAGTTGTTGTTTTCTCAGTTTTCGAATCGGTGTTGACCGCATGTAAAAATGTTGGAAATCTTTGGAAAATACTATAACTGTTAGATCGTAATTATTTTGATAATGCATGTTTGAAAGAAACAAGTACATGAATACAGGGCTGTACATATTCACGTGTAGTACAGAAGCTCTGTGATATAAACGAATTCAATATAGCAACATAAATAGACACTTACGCGGGAAGAGATGCGGGACGTGTGGTACGACTTTGAGCATCGATTGACGCAGTTCCTGGACAGGTCACAGGCGCATCGCTAAACAAATCTCATAAATGTCTATTTCCAATTTAGGCATTCATCTAACATCGTGCTTCGTTGCAACACCAACCCCTAACAAAATCATGTATATAATTACATGATCGCATGTTTATGATCGAGGTCTGTAAATTAAGTGTTGAGACTGGCAACGTAGCGTTGGATCTGACAACACTGGAGTCGCTGAGCTTGGAGCTTCAGTACGAGTTTGAACTCGCTCGAGTCATTTGATTGTCCGTAGCGACTTTTTTTATGAAATAGTTTCTTCTATTGTGTTCTAAAAATGGATGAAATCAATTTCAAGAAACGATGTGCTACCGGGGGTTTTTCGGAGGCTTAATTTCTTTTTGTAAAGGGAGAGTCGATTGATGATGAACCACGAAACTGAAGGCCTTCATCTTTGAGAACCGATGAAAATATCGACAGAATCCGGGATATTGTGCGTTCAGATAGTCGGTTGACAGACAGAATGTCTGAATTTAACTCACCACCACCATTCATCAGATGATCCTTGACAGCAATGTCAATAAACGAGTTTTTGGCCACTAAAAATATTTCTGTGGCTCCTCGGCTTCCTTATTCGCCTGATTTGAGTCCTTGTGACTTTTTTCTCTTCCCGAAGTTGAAAAATCAAGCGAACTCCGTTTGGGACAGTTGTAAAAATTCAAACGGCTGTAACCAACCAGCTGAAAGCTATTCCAGTATCGCAGTTCCAGCACTGCCATCAGGAGTGGAAGGGTCTTCAGCGCTGTGTGGCTTCAGAAGGAAGTCATTCTGAGAGTGACATTATAAAATTGTATTTATACTTGCATACAAAAAATTTAAAAAAGCAGCCTCATTACTCAATTTACAGACCTCTCATAGTTGAGTACATTAAAGACGAGTTACTTTTCGTAAAATGGTGCAGTCAGACTTACAGAGACAAACGGAGAGAATCGTCGTCATCGTATGACTGGATGTACGTTTGTATTTGTGGTTTGTGAATTGTTGTTGAAAATCAAGTTTTAAGTAGTGTAAAAATGTACGTTGTACCACTGTACATTAAATAACAATCGTTTGTAAATGTAGATGCATTTTTCACATACGCGATTGTATTAAAGGAGAATTTTGCATAATTCGAACAAACTGCTAGGAATTTGAAGCAGGTGACCAGTGACGTTACTTTGATGGGCTTTGATGGGTGTCGATATCCAGATTCCCTAAGACGGAGAACCAATCCTGTATGGAATGAGCACCCTCATGCAAAGTGTTTGACCGTGTGCGTGTTTTTAGGTGCTTCCACTGTGCTAGTTTTACAGGCTGAATGTACTAGCGATATAGTTAGGTGCCAAAATTGTGTAGCAGCAAACAATAAATATGATTTCACTTTAGATTGTAATCATTCTTTATTTGATACAAGTGCATGTAAAATATTTCTACAAAAGTTGCAGCACGAATATAATGTTACAAATAACATAGCCTGTCCGAATTTCCAAAGTCTTGTCAACAACAGAGCATCCAGAAATAGAGTTACTGGATAATGACGTAGATATACTTTGCATCACCGAGGATTGGTTCACGAAAGAGTAAACCAATCTATCTCTTGAAGGCCATAAGTTAGTCAGTTCTTTTGTGCGAGAGGAAAAGAAAAATGGAGGAAGCGCAATTTTTTGTAGAGAAGGTTTGGTTAACATGATAACAAATTTTAGTGTTGAGACATTTGCTATAGCCAAATGGTTTGAAATAAGTTGTGCCACAATGTCTGTTTGAGGTGAAAAAATTATCATTTGCTGTATTTATAGATCACCGTCAAGTAACCCTAAGAATGCTTTTATAATCTTAATCTTCTCGAAAAAATTTGCCACTCCAACGGTAGCGGGAAAATGGTACTCTGTGGTTAATGAACAATGGTATCAATTTTTGAGCTTTGCGCACTTCGAAATACTTGATCGACACAACACGAACTACTAGGTACTATACGAATTTTCACTAAACTTGACCGGTAGTCAAATTCCATTATGTTTTGCGCCTAGTACTTTAGCAGCCCGTCAGTCAGCCATTTTCAAAGATTGTCAATGTATACTCCAGGGTTATAAGGCACTGATAATAAGCTTCAAAAAGGCCATCACAAGACCTCCCGTTCCTTGTATGAAAATGTGCCAAGGTGGTGACAAGCCGCTATCTTAAAATTTTCAATGCGTATTAAGTTAAAACATAGGGTTTTTGCATCAATTTCATCCCGAATTTGAGCCTGTCAGCTTGAACCGTTGAAAAAATAAAAGGGGCACCTTTTTGAATAGCACTGTATTTATTAAACGGCTACTTTTCTGGTTTAACTTCCTACTGAGTTTTCCGGAAGCTTTTGGAACACACAATATTTGTGTTGACCCGTTTTCAAAACATGCTACAAATTTTTCGACAAACTCAGCATACGTAGCTTGTAGAACTACTTCACTGTCAGCCGACAACAAATAAACGATCTCCACATGTTGTGATCGAAAAAAGCGAAAACTGTTCCACACTATGCCGTCAATGAGGCAGAGATAGAGCTTTAAAATAAACTAATTCAAAGTATGTTTATATTTAACGTCGGCTGATAGCCCCATTAATCTTAATTAAAGCCGACCAACTAACAAATCATCTGGCCACGCCCCCTCGCTCGCTATTGGCTGAGAGCCCAATACTCGGCTTAAGTAGGTTTCAGAACAGTCTTGGAGCGCTTCAGTGATTTGAGCCCGCTGAAAATTATAGGGTTTGACAGTGAATGGGTGATTATCGTCCCTGTGTATAGTGTGGAGTGAGAAGTGACGTACTCTTGATACCTTCGTAAAAGTCTGAAGTGAAGGTAAGTTATAATTTGTTTGTATAAGAAGCACCTATCAATAAAGGCATACCTAACACTAGTGCATCAAATGTTTAAGAATATCAGAAAAACGTGGCAATATTTCTAGGGCACAAAGTAGATAAATAAAACAACATGAAAAGTATAATTATAATTCTGAGATCGAAAATAAATTATGTCTTCAAGGTGGATTAAAATATTGACGTAAAGTTTCTTGCACGAAGTAGTGGTATCTCCATAATGCCGCCACGCGATATGCCTGCCAGACAGACTTGCCTGATGTCGCCCTACCATCCTAACCGTGTCGAATTTCGTACATCCAGAACTGGCCGAAAGTTACCGCACCTTTGTCCCTAGGGTATCGAGATTGTGGAATAACCTACATACATGAGGAAGCTTTTCCCAGTTTCGCTAACCTTAGGTAGTCCAAACCACCAGAAATACTGCCGCATTTTTCTGAAACACCCTGTATGAAAGAACTCGATCAGAGGTAAATTCTGAGACTACCCGGGGATCAAATGCCGTAATTTTATCGCCATTGTAAAAAAATGATACTGGAGATAAAAAATATCAACTGAAGACGTGCTTCCAATGAATTCCACATAAACATTAACGATTTTTAGTTTTTGATATGGTATACACCTGCATACAATAAAAATTGACAGATACGAGTATAATCTAAGGATTCAAAACGCGTAATGCTTATTCGATGGGTACCTATGTATAAATAAATAGAGGTAATCGATGAAAACAACACGTTTCTTTTTTGATATTTTTACGTAAAAACATTATGAATGGCTTATTTTTATCGTATTTGTTGGTTGATATCGCATTTACCTACACATTAGACGCCAATGCAGGCACCACCATGGTACGATATGCTATCATCCAGCGCCAACGTTGGCCAGCCCCAGCCCATGCGTATTGATTTGGTGTTCACACATTGATGCTAGTCTACGTTGGTCCCATATGTGAATGCGACATGAGAAAATGTGAACCGTTGGAAGTGAAGCTGACAACCAAATGATAAAAGCTGCAAACCTCATATCTTTCTCACAAAAACCAAACTTAGCTATACAGATGTCATTTTTTCTATATATTTTTAATTTGTGCATGCGATATCCTGTATGTCACGCGGAGGTGCCGGTCGACATTGTACACTGAATATTATCTCGCCTTGTGTCTCCTCAATCAAGACGACTGTTGAGCGACATTGTAGGGCGACAAAAATCGCGCGCTTGAATCGGCGTTTAGCCTCATCATGATTTAAGCGGAGGCTGTTTAGATAACTGCTAACCGTGTTAATTACACTGACGATTGGTCAAGTAGCAATTTGAGGTTACAACAAATTTGAATTTCAAGCTGACATTTCTCTGTTACTGAATCATGAAATATTCCGTGTAGGGCTGGCTCTAGTAGTACCACATAGCTATGTGACAGCTCACAAGTTTTGAGTATAACTTCTGTTTTCATAAATTTATAATTGAACTCTTGGTTGGGCCAATACTGAAATGGAACAAAACAAGGTAGATGCATGTGCTATATTAACTGCTTTTGCTTGCGTGGCCCAACGGTGGTTAATATTATCTTGGCTAATAGGACATGATTCAGTATGGTTTCCGGTACCAGCGATCCACCGGAGACCTCCTAACTTACGTCATGAAATTGTAGTGTAAACTCATCCAGTCTTATGGTGAGCCTCATATCGTTGATCTTGTATCAGGGAAGCATTCGATCAGCTGTGGCATGATGCCCTCTTATGCAAACTTCCATCCGTTGGGCTTCCAGAGAAGCTTTGCAGATGGGTAGCTGACTTTCTCTCTGACCGCAACATATCCGTCGCTATTGACGGGTTCTCCTCTTCATCTCACAACATTAACTCGGGTATTTCCCAGGGATCGGTCTGTGCTCCGACACTGTTTCTCTTACATATCAACTACCTCTTCTCAAGTACAACCAATCTAATCCTCAGCTTTGTTGATGATAGCACTCTGCATGCAGAGTGACAACCCATGCTCTTCCGGTGAGCTGGAGAAAAGAAGAAGAAGACTTCCTCTCTGACGAGAAACCTGGGGGTTATCGCTGCGTGGGGTTGCAAAAATCTTATACAGTTTAGTGCTTCCAAAACACAGTACCTGCTGTACCTTGACGATTAGAAAGCGTCATAGCGCTCATCCGGTTTCGATGTGTCACTGAGCTCTGCCAAAGAGCCGTTCATTTCGGCTGTTCGGAGTCTAGACCATCGAGAACTTGATCTGGCTCGAACACATCTGGTCAATAGCGATAGCTGCTGGGAAAAAGCTATTTGTTTAGGACTAAGAAGTACTTTTCTCACTCTTTACAAGGCCCAGGTAAGGCCTAGCCTCAAGTATTGCTCACACGATCGATGACTCTTCTCTACCAGACAATCTTCGGGTCCTTTCGCACCTCAACACCAATTGGCTTTGCTCGTCAGAGCTCTCTTAAATGACCTTTCATTGAAACCCTTTTATATTACGTGGAGCAGAAGGATCTTAGCAGCGGTATTATGTAACTTTACAGCCGACTAGGTCCATAACTAAAACTGTCATGTGAAATTAAGGGAGATACAATTCTTATTACGGATTTTGGCGGTTACTTGACAATGTCATATGAAATAAGTTAATAGAATAACCATCCGTAAAGGAAATTACACTCTGCGCAAGCCGATTCCTCAACGCAACTACTACACGCTGTAGCACACACACACCTGAATGGAGTGAGGGGATCGTTGTCTTAATTCGCTTTCTGAAAATATTCCAAAAAAATTAATACAATCTGTCGACATCGTCGTTGTATCTTCAGGCATTGCTATGTTTTATATAGAAGATCAACAAAAAGTAAACTCAAATCACACGCTCAGTATAAGTAAGTTGTCGTACTGACAGTGACAAACATAAATACGTTCACAACGATATTTTCGAGGCGATGAGACTAAACTAAATAACGTCTGATGGAGATGAACTTATGGAATTCCTGAAATTTGCTGTGACATGCCAAAGACCGTTAAAAGATCTTCAGAGCCTTTTTACACGAAGCCTAGAAATCCATTTATTAAACTGGTGGATGTGCGGGTTCTCGAAATTATCATCCAAACTGTGAAAAATGTAGAATTTTTCAAATGTTTCCTGAACTCCAAATCTAAATTTTGTAAAATAATATTTTTCAAGGTTTTGACTATTTTTTTAGCAGTATCTTGTTTCTTTCCACGTTCCATGTCCTGAAATTTTCATTTCGCAACTTCCTAATCATGATAGAACTGTAAAAAAATTAGAGGGCTCATAATTTGTTCCACCTTATGCATAGTGGCACAACTTAAATATTGTGAAGTTTTCATGAGAATGAGGACAACAATTTTTAGTTGCTAAGGAATCCTTATGAAGATAATTTACAAAGTTGAGTCATTTATTTTAATTGCTTGTACGACTCGTCAAAAAGGAGTTGATATACCAAAAGTCACCTATATAAGAGTTGCATAGTAAAAGAAACAATAAAAGATTAAACATTTTAAATAATAAGAGTGTTATTACACACTTATTTTGATATTCTCGACCACTGCCGTGTAAAATCATGGTGTTTTTTGTTTACTACTCTTATCTTTTATCTAAATTTGGCAAACGTTTTGTGTAGTTGTATGGTTTTTAGTACGAGTCTTTGGTTCGATTAGTTGCATCTGTCTTATAATAGTGCGCATACTTTCATATGTCTGAATATTATGTGCAAAAAAATGGCCCATGTTTATGAAAACAATGAACTAGTGGACATAATATTCGTACTAACGTACGGAGAATATCAACAAAATGCAGCCGCAGCATGCAGACTGTATGGTTTCCTCTAAGAAATCATCCGGCTCCACGGATGCTTGTAAATTCAGTGATTAGACTTCGTGGCCTAGGATATTTAAAAGAACAACGAGGATGTCACGCTGGAAGACCTGCTCAACCTGAAATGTTACAAATTGAGGAAGACATTTCAGACATGGTCAAAGGCAACCAAACAATGAGTACTAGAGCCACAGCAGCTCAAGTTGCAGTTTCCCATAGTAAACTGTGGGAGACAATACGGCAAGAACCGTATTATATTTATCATCATCAACGGGTACAACCGTTACACCCTGAAGATCATTCTAGAAGACGAGGCCACATTTACACGAAATGGAGTGCACAATTTTTACAACAATCATGTGTAGGCAGTAGAAACTCCGCATGCTGTAAAAAAAAACATAGATTTTCGTTAAATGTTTGGGCTGGCGGGGTAAATGGCATGTTTATTGGACCATACTTTTTTATACGATTTTTTTTTGTGGGTCTATTTGAAAGAGTTGGTCTATCAAGATGGAGCAGTAAATACTCTGAAAGATCTTCAACAGTGCACTGAAAATGCTTGTGATTTAATTAGCGACACCAGGATTTGATTTTCGAAGCTTGTAAAGAGTCTTGGATTCGCCGAGCAAGATTTTGGGTTAATCGAACAAATGGGGACAATTTTGAAGAATTTTGTAGAAACCACCATTTAACGTTATGTTTTAATAATTTTTAATAATGCAAACTAACTCTCTTGTTGTGCAACTTTTATATAGGTGATTTTTGGTATATCAACTTCTTTTGACGAATTCCACAAATTGTTAAAATAAATGATTCAACTTTGAAAGCACCCCGAATACTTCCCATACATTCGAAACAATCTCTAGTACCATTAGATATGCAGTGCAATGGCATTAAAAAGAGGTGGATTTTGTCAAAGACATTAGTACACCATTTGGGCTTTTCATGAAAAAACCCTCCAGATTGCAGTAATGAGCGGCGTGTCAGTACAGGTTATTTTCTTTGGAGCTATGGTGTTATGAAAGTTTATCAACATTGTTTGATACCTCTCGAAATCTTTTACAAGGCAAGTGCGACCGATAGGAACAAGATCCGTCGGTTGCAAATATTTTTGTTTTAAGCAAATGTACGGAGAAATCTATGAAGTCTGAAATATATATATATCTACTAGGTGCGTTAAATCACTGAAATAAGAAGTGTATTAATATATTGACATCAAAATATTGCGATACAGCATCCCCTATCCCCCAATTCTTAGTCCTAAACAATTTTTTAAAAATGATCAGGATCCTCTGAAAGGTCAAATAGAATAAGATTGCGAGACCGACAGACAGATCGACGGAAATGGGCTATTCGTTATGTATATGACATATAAGATCCAAGGAACATAATACCTTTCCGAAGTTTTTCGCGATTTCAATACCAGTAGGCGTGGGAAGTAAATACACTATCATAGTTCTACAAGGATCTATCTCTGCATACATTTCTCCCAAGAAAACATTTTCCGATGAGTCCAGTGCCTTATTTGTAATTGATAATTATAGACAATTGCAATACTTGCGGCCGACAACATCAATCAAACTATTTTTTCATGGTGTTTTTTCCGCGCATTCGGGGAAGATACAAGTTACTCAAGCAACATCATTATGGTTGTGGCAAAATCCCCTAGGTGGTGTTAACGCTCGACCTCTTCAACAGTGCACTGAAAATGCTTGTGATCTAATTCGCGACACCAGGATTTTATTTTCGAAGCTTCTAAAGAGTCGTGGATTCGCCGAACAAATGGGGACAGTTTTTGTAATAACGGTATCCACTTAACGTGATAATGATTTTTTTAAATAATTTTTAATAATCTAAACAACTCTATTTTTATGCAACTTTTATACAGGGTGTTTCAGAACTATGGGATCATACTTGTAGGGGTTATTCAGTTTAACGTCCGACAGCAAATGTGGTTTCAGCATGATGGAGCGCCGGCTCACTTTACTGTACAAGTACGTGAGTATTTGGCTCAGCGGATTGGGCATCGTTGGATTGCCAGAGGTGGAGCAGTTTCTTGGCCTCCTAGGTCACCCGATTTAACGTCGCTGGATTTTTTCCTGTGGGGACATGTGAAGTCTTTGATTTCCGAAACTTCAGTAGAAACAGAGCAAGACTTAATTGGACGAATTACAGCAGCATTTGAAATCATTCAAAACGAGTATCAAATTTTTAGTCAAGTCCGCCGAAATCATGTGCGACGTTTAAATCGGTGTATTCAGGTTGGAGGAAGACATTTTGAACAATTGTTGTGATATCATGAACAAAAGGCAAAAATTAAATGCATTAAGTCCTATTCAGGCAATTCATCGTCTTTCTAAATTTTAACGCGTCTTAAGGCCGTAGTGACACTTTTCCGGATATGGGTCCCTATACTCAAATGTTTTCTACTGTTACACTGAATAACCCCTAGAGGTTTGATCCCCTAGTTCTGAAACACCCTGGGTAGGTGATTTTTGGTATATCAACTTCTTTTGACTAGATCTGCAAGCTGTTAGAATAAATGACTCAACTCATCGTTAAAATCATCCAATTGCGAGATGCTATCTTTGCAGGGTAGGCCTATAGCTCGTGGTTGAAGCATTGCTTCTAGACAAAATCTTGTCAACCTCTCTGCATGTACAAATGTACATACATCGTATCTAATGGAAACTTTAAAAATACTCAGCATGATACGAAATGTCCCAAATTCTAGCAACATACCAAGGTTAGATTTTTAATTGGATTGATTAAATTTTATTTGTTGAATGTTGAGTAAAGCTAATCAATGTACATGAACACTCAACTTTAGTTTATTTTCAATAAATATATTTTTTGGTTATTAGAAACGTAAAACTGTAGTGCATTCCTCGTCCTTTATCAAAACTTAGACTATAAAAGTACCATTTTTGGAGAAAGAGAATGTTTCGCGTTTTTTGAGAATCTAGTAGATATTAATCGAAATTTTCTATTGGTAATAAAAAAATGTTTTGACACAAACGCTTTTACGTATGTCTGAAAATGACGGACTAGTTGGATTGAGCGTTCTTGTATATTGGCTTGTTTTTAACTCAACAAGTAGTAATCCAATCCTCGAAGGATGTTATATCAATGTTATTCGCTTAAAATGGTCTGTCCGATCAGCTTTGCAGTAAAATATGAGATATTCTATTTGAAGAACCGCAATTTTAATACGTCGCTAGAATATAATAATAATAATGATAGTGATAATATCAATAAATTGGTTTTACTAGGAGGGGAGGTTTAGCATAATGCTACTCTACCACTTGACCCCAAACAAACTGAAACATTTGCTAAGTTACATGTAAGTTAAAAATGTATGTTGTAACAATTATACAAACAAAAGAATGTTATAATGAAATATTTGTATGAGGTGACAGATAAATTTTAGAAACTGAATTATAGTATTTCTATTCAATATAAATTTCTTCATATAACTTTTAAATTCGTCATAAATATGATCGTTGGCGCGAGGTATATTATTGTTAAAAATAACTGCGTTGTAAGTGAATCATTTACGAAAGAATGATGTCTTGTGAAGCGGTATTGTGTTTATGTGAATCGAATGTCCCTAGAATGAATATTACTTATAGATATCAGCTTATTTTTCGAAAACGCGATAATGGATGAGAGCAAAAGTTAATGGGTGTAAATAACTAATTGTAACTCACATAGTTCTTTTACTTTCAACCATTCCATCTCTAATATGATCATATTTATTCGAATTATTGGTCAACCTACAACATGAATTTTTGATTTTCAAACAACTCTTTTGGCATCGCTTCTAAACAATTTTGGTGAAAAAATAATGACTTTTGATTTTAAAGTGTTGTATATTTTTGAAATGTGTCGAAGAATATTATGTAAATTGATCCTTAGTTTTTTTTGAAAAACTTCTGTATACAAGCAATGCTAAGTCCACGCACTATTGGTCCACCCTCTGCAGCTATCGTTTACTCGTCACATTGGTAGAAGACAAACTATTACAAGAGCTTCTGCTTTTGTTGAACTATCCAGAATCATTAATTATTTTTTCGAAGTTTCTTTATAAAGCCTTGAAGGACTTTAAGACCTAAATGAGCATTTTAAATGTTTGTAATTGTATTACAATAAAGGCACACTTTCCACACTTCAATCCTCAAATTAGCAAAAGCTTATTTCAACTATCCCAGTATCAAAATTGATCCATAAACACATTAATTATTTTTAACCTATTCGCATTTACAGATTACCAGTGGACCAAAGTTAATCATATTCCAGGATGGATGACAGCAGCTGTGATTTGGAAGTTGAGCAGTGTGACGTACATGTTGAGAAGCCTGACGAAAACCTTACAAAGTGTCCGCAGAAATCGGTTAACTTTTCTATAGACTCTTTACTTTCGAATAAAGCTAATTCTGGCTCAAAAAGTACTGTGATAGAAGTGGCAGATGGACAGTACCTGCAAAATGAAGCGATTTCGTGTGATAATTCAGCAGATGACCAAAACAAGGAATGTTGTTCTGCACAGATTGGTGGTGAAAGTACAGCAAGAAGAGAAAATGAGGTGTCGTCTACAGATGGTTACTATCCGTCAGGCTATTCAACAGGTAAATACAGTCATCTTTAAATTTGAATTAATACCTACTAACGAAATATTGCATCTTAATCATAGTCACTTACGCGTAAGCCATTGAATATTTGTAAATATAAATAATTTTTTGATTTACCTACTTTTTTCTGGGATCATTAGGATAACAAGTTCTCTGTAGCTTAGGAGGATGGGTTGAGAACATTATTCCACTCACTCTTATAATGCTGGCTAGGGGAAAGGTGCTGGCTAAAATCCATTGAAAAATGAAAATTAAATTCGAAGTGTATCATGCAATCCGATTGATGTGGAAACAAAGGAGGTGCTAATCGGTTATCAATTTTCCAATACTGCTTCCATTGTTATCTTACTTGGGGTAACCCTTTGGTTATTCAGATTCCGATTCATTTATTAATGCATTAAAGATCTACATCGTAGACATTGGATAGGTCGGTATACATAGATTAAAATATAAATAAATGAAGTACAATACAAACAACAATGGGAACATAAAAAACAATATGATAAATACATGGCAATATACCGGAATGTGACAAATTCTCCCAAGCATAGAAAGCGCAATCCTATAGCTTGTTCTCTTGAAAAGCCCTAGGAGTTTACGTTTTCAATCTCTGATTGTAATAAGTTAAATAATATATCTGCTGTTAGGGGAGATTTTGAATCAAATGTATGATATGACATATTTTTATAATGAGTGCTTTGGTCATGCTATAGTATGCCTAAGGTAATCATTTCGATGCAGAAAAATATATGTTGAAAGTTAATAACGATATACATATACAGAGTTTGTCCGGAAAGTAATAGGACTCATTTTCTTCCGCCATGACTGTACTTGGTCGCACCGACTGGATTCGGTAGAGAGCGTTCCTAGCGAACGAATGAGCAGCTGGTCAGTTGTCTCCGAACACTTGGAGAGTCAGGACAGGCATTTTCGCGCGACGTGTTTCTGTGAGTGGTGCAAGCCGAAAATGCAGCGTTCGTTAGAGCAGAGGTACGCGATTAAATTCTGTGTGAAACCCGGTAAATCTGCGACAGAGACGTTTGATATGATCAAGCAGGCTTACCCAGGTGTTGCTTTAGCAAGAAGTGGTGTGTTTCGGTGGCACCAGGCCTTTTTGGAGGGCCGGGAAGAGGTCGCTGATGAGGACCGTGCTGGAAGACCTTCGACTTCGACAAACAACGATAATGTGACTCGTGTGCGCAAAGTTCTGAACTCAGACCGTCGACTAAGTATTCGTTTAATTTCCCAGATGTTAAATTTACCAAAATCTGTGGTTCATGAAATTGTGACACAGCATTTGAACATGCGCGAAGATGGTCCCAAAAGTGCTCACTGACGACCAGAAATTGTGGCGAGTGGAAGCCTGCCAAGAAAATTTGAACATGTTTGTGTGAAAGTGACCCCCAATTTTTGAATAACGTAATTACAGGTGACGAGTCGTGGATCTTTGAGTCTGATCCCGAGACAAAGAGGCAATCTTCCGAGTAGCACACGACGGCGTCTCCTCGCCCAAAAAAGGGAAGAATGAGCAAATCCAAAGTGAAAATGATGCTCATTGTCTTTTTTGACATCGAAGGCATCGTCCACCATGAATTTGTTCCTCCCGGACAAACCGTCAACGCCAAGTTTTACGTGGAAGTGCTCAGGAGACTGAAACGAAGGGTCAGTCGGGTCCGACAAGACATCGCAGCCGACTGGAAGTTGCACCACGACAACGCCCCGGCTCACACCGCCTTTCTTGTGAACAGCTACCTGACCAAGGCCGGCTTCTCAAGGCTTCCGCAGCCGCCCTTCAGCCCAGATGTGCCCCCCCGGACTTTTTTTGTTTCCTCACCTGAGAAGTCCGATGAAAGGCAAACATTTTGAGACGACAGAGGGGATCCAAGCAGCATGCACCGCGGCTCTCAAGGCTATTCCGGAGAATGCCTTCCGTGACGCCTTCAATGCTTGAAAATCGCGCTGGCGGCGGTGCATCGTCGCAGAATGAGCCTGTTTAGAAAGTTTTTAAAGAATTGTAACTATTGGCTCAATAAATTTTTTTAAATCGACTCAGTCCTATTACTTTCCGGACAAACCCTGTATAGTATCGATTGTCAGTTGTTTAGATAATTGGTCAAACGACTGAAAAAATCGCCAGCTTTGTTATGTTATGTTATTATCACCGTCTTTAAGCTGATCTGAATAAAGTGCTGGAGTTTATTTCTATTTATACAGCCTATCACAAAACGCATTGTACATTTTCTCAAAAATTTCGAATGTATATTTCTGCATCGTTGAATCGTTTTTTTGTGAACTTTTTTTGATATAAGGTTTATACAGCTTTTTTCCAAACGTTTTTGAGCTATTGCAATTAATTCCAGGAAAAATATAAAATTAAACATGAAATCAAATCTTCTACCAAAACACAATAGCTTCTGTTAACACACCAAAAATAATCTCAGTATAAGGTAAAGTATCGTTAATAAATTGATGGATTATATGTGCAAAGGTCTGTTGAAGTTATCTTGCCCGTCTGAAAGAGTTTGTCTAGGTATCCGCTTAAAAGACTCGCTTATACAATGTTTCATGTCCTCGGGTGTTATTGGTTTCTCCTGGTAAACCTATCTTTTTACATGCCCTCCGAGAAAGAAGTCAGATCGGGAGATCTTGCTGGCCTATTGATCAGTCCGCCTCTCACTATCCAACTGTTAGGCCGCCAATGGTATAGATACTGTTCTGTGATCCGCTACGGTTTATTAAACATCAACGATACGAGTATACCTATATGGGCCATCGAATTAAACACAATAAAGAATCGTGTTGCCCAACTTGCTGAAACAACGTAGTTGTGAAAAAATACTGGACTTGAGATCAAACATCTGGGAATCAACAGAACTACTTGGAATGTATTTCAACAATTTCATAATGAATCGCTGTCTTGGTTAAGATGAATTTCATTGTTTCCATGGAAGATCTGATTTCTAAATGTAGAGCATAAGAAGTGTTATAAATCATATCAAAAAGAATGCCTAAGGGAAGCTACTTAATCATATAGAATTATAGAAGGTATTTTAATTAAAATCTATGTACATTTTGCGTTTAGAGATACCATGAATAAATAGAAAGATATTTTAGCATTTCTTTTATATCAGCTTAAAATCGATGATAATATAATTTGTGTTGACTAAAATGTATCTTAATATCTTCAAAAATTACAGAGCTGCGAGTTGTCAGAGTTGGGCATTTCGCTGAATATACAGGGTGACTTCGAAGTTGAGTCATTTATTTTAACAGTGAGTAGATCTGATCAAAAGAAATGTTTTTTTCCTTTACCATTTTTCTGGTAAAATTAAAGTAACAAAGTTATAGCCCTTTGGAAGTTTGAGTACCGCCCTGTCTCAATAATAATATCATGTACTCGTGTTTGGCAACAACGGATATAATCCACCTTATCGGTTCATCGCATGGGAAACAAAAAAGCGAAAGAATTTGGAACGACGTTTTTATTTCATTCAGTTCAGTTATACATACATTCAGTGTCAGTCGCGTGTGAATAGTGTCTGTTGCGTGGCTCAAACGAAACAAAAAATGGCACATGTTTATGCGGATCGGTTTCCCAATCGAGTGCAACCAACCCCTCGTGCCTTTGTTAATGTAGTACAACGGGCTCGTGAATCAGGTGACTTAAGACCTCACAGGGCACCTCACGATCAAATACAGGTCCGCACTGAAATACTTGTTGGGAGGATACTTTATAAAACAAGGTAAAAAATTTTTTTTATTTTTTTTTATTTTTACACACATATTTTGGTTTATCTTCCTTCTACAATCATTATCTGAAAATTAATGACTCAACTTCAAAGTATAAACAATTTCCAATCAAAACCATAAGTTATATGATATCAAACTTTTTTCTTTCATCAATCCAAATATGCAATGAAATATTTCAAAAATATATGTTTGCTATGGCACAAAGATATGGAACACCCTGTATATATTAAAATAACTTTAAAATATGCACTAGTAAAATGTCACGGTTGCCCTTAAAACACAGATATATTTGATATATCTTCCAGTTTCCTCATAAAAAAACTTCCCATTTTCGTTGGGGCACCCTGTAAGCCACTAACCCTTTTTCCTGATGAAACAATGTAAGTGCATTACAGTTTTTCGGGCTGTTTCCATTATTAATATTAATAAGCTGTGAAGGTTTTTTGAAATTGCAATTTTTTTAAACACCAATTATGCCCAAAAAACTAATTTAAGAGCTTGGGGCAATAAGGTACCTAAGCCTCATTGACTTTATTTCGAGAAATTTGACATTGTAAGTTGTATGTAAATCCCTAAATCACATTTCTTGCTTTATTTCACTAGAACCAAAACAATACACTCACAAATGGGGAAACTAAGATCCGGTGACAACTGCGTAGACAAAAATCTGACACACTCCGGTATTCGAATGTGGCTTATGCCCCTTGTTGCCTCAAGCCCTTCAATTAAACTAGTTTATTTGTCAGTGACTCAGTACTTATAAAATGCAAATTATAGGACTTACAAAGTTTTGCACTGACCGGTTCAATTGGGTAAGAAACTCTGTATTAATCCGCATACCTCATTAAATTGGAACAAGTATCAATCTCTGTTCACCCCACAAAAATAAAGACATCTCAGTAATTTACGGTTAATTATTTTTGGAGTTCCGTCTCATTTGGTGCTTCTCGCGCTTTCCTGTCGGTCTATCCTGTGTTTCAACGCTCAACTGGTTCACGAAAAATTACGAACTCGCGTAATTAATGAATGAAATAATATATTAATCTCTGTTTAGACAGACATGTCGTGTCGCGGCAATTAGTCGACGGCACCGACACGTTGGGACACAGCATCTGTATTAGGCCAGGAAATAGATATTTTTTTCCTACAATTTTGGCGACAATAAATTTTTTAGGTGGTAAAATTATTTCTTACTAATGATAAATTCAGATTGGTGTCATGGTATGACTGGTGCATTTGCCGCCATT